TTTCACATCAGCTAATTTATTATTTTTAAAAATGAGAGTGACATATGAGGTTTTTCAGTAATTAGGTTAAGTCCTTTATAAAAATAAAAATCTATATTTTGTCATTCTAATATTTTATTTTATATTTTGAAATAAAAATTCTATTAAATATCAACACATAGAACTAAAATATTGCAATATTATTAATATAAATCGACATACTATTATTATTGTTATTATTTTCTTATTAAGATTCCAATACTAACATTGCATACCTACAAAACAGTAATATTTTTAAATGTTTGATATTTGACATAAAAATTACAATAACAATAAACAATAAATTCAATTATAATTTCTCACTTATTTATAAGTTTATAATATTGTATTTCAACATATTTCTTTATCTATGAAAGCTAAAAGAATTTTTTATATTTTCGGGTTGTTGATGCGACATTTTTATATTTTAAACTCAATATGAACCTAAACAAATCATTTGACTTTCATTGATGAATAGCCAATGATAACGATTGTTGAGGGAATAACTTTGTGGTAAATTTAAAAAATGACAAAACAAAAAAAAACAGTAAATCGCTTTTTGACCGTTCCGTTTAGTATAAATTTTGGGTCAACTTCCATCCATTTTGGTTCTCATTTACATGAACTATATCGCTGTATATATATACACACATGTTGTGTAAAAGAAATATAGAGGCTAAACCTCAATATGAGTTCTATATTGGCACTGTAACGCTTGTGAAAATAGAAAATGCGGAGAGTAGGACAATCGCTGCAATCCTTTACTTGAACCACTGAACAGTGCGTAAATTTTAGTCTCTAAGGGTACTTAAATGTGTCACTTCACATAAGTCTATGGTTCAATACTAAAATGCAATGAAGTAAAGACAATTGTAGATTGTAACAGTTCAGCAAAAAAATTCAATGCCAAAAATTTAATACAATTTTCTATATTTCTTTCTTTTATTAAAATAATATGAAGTTTTAATATTACAATTTTGTTAAATTATAATTAAATGACAAATTTATTTAATCTTACTGGAGATACCCTATATTTATTTATTTTTATTGAGTATGCAAAATAAATTTATGTCCTTAGAATATTTTATAAAGAAATGTAATTATAATAAATAATATGATCACTCAAAATAATAATTTAATATCTACTTTGTTAAAAAAAACGTACTAATAGATCTTTGCGAATTGTGACACATTGAAATAGTATCTCTTATTATCTTGTCGACCCTTTTTAGGGTAAAACAACATGACGACATGTATACATACACAGCTGTTGTCGAACAAGACTCAATTCGTAGTGACATACAACTGAATCATTGATATATTCTATGACCCAAAAAGTTTATACCCTCGATCAGATCACATTATTAGTCACAAAATGTTTTTTTTTTTTTGTATAACTTTATTTTTTATTCAATATATTGTAATAGTAAAGTAGTTTTTTTGTGTTTCCGGAGAATTCGTTACTGTTTCATCCATTTCATCATATGCAAATCATCTATTTTAGGCAATTTAATATGATTTTCAAAATGCATACTTTACCTAACAAATGGAACCTTTGATCCCAAAAACCCTTTTATTTCAATGTTTCAGTCTAAATGTCGATTACATCAAAGTAAACAATATATATATATATATCGTTACAATAAAGAACAAATTAATTAGATATTGTGGTTGACAAAAGACTGATCCGACCATAAAAAACAACAACTTTTGCAACTAATCTCGTTTTTATTTATTTCGACTAATATTGAAATCAAATTTACACCTAAAAAAAACTTAAAAAATAAAAAAATATATATAGTTAAATATTATATAAAAATATAATTTAAATATAATATACATGTATATTAATACTAAGGTTCTGTTACAGAACGGTTTCCTCATTGCCGTTATTTATGTCCTTGTTAATTCTATGTTTTGATCATTATTTTTAAAAAAGATTTTATTAATATTTCTATAAAAAAAATAATTATAAATAAATGTTGCGGTCTATGACAATAATTTATCGAGTATACTACTTTATTTTTTATTATACTCAACTACTTAATAATAATATTTTATTTAAATTGTTAAAGGCGCACTCAAGGTGGACACCTGTTAATACTAACGTGTCGAGCACAATAAAGAACGAATTTTCGGGTTCTAGTCACGGTAATTGGCATTGAGCCGTTTATTAAGCACAAAACAAAATGATATTACTAATGGCACTAAAAGAGTGTGGCAAAAATGATAAATGTAATGGTAGTGAAACAGTATCGCAAAAATAATAATACTAATGGTAGTGAAACAGTATCGTAGGCCGAATGCAAAAAAGAAACGTGGAGGTGTCACAGAGATGACTGACTGAACGCATTATTGCGGCGGGGATTCGACACTAGGCATTTATTGGACTTTACACAACGACGACCGTTTGTATAACGGTCCGGTTTACAGTGGAGCGGTGGCTGAGAAGGAGATGGCACGACCGTGGAATGTCACACGGATGACAACGCCGTGGCCGTGTCAAAGTCTAAATTATTTTACTTAATACTGGTTAAAATAAAAAAGTTAAACAATTGTAATTATAATGACATTATAATGTTTCGGTCGACTTGTAATTATAAAATTTACAGAATATACAAAAAAATTCAGTTTCACATCTTAAATTTAAAAAAAAAAGTTTGTTAAATAGACTGCAGGGTGATTTATTAAGGATAAGACACTTATTTTCTCAGAAAGTATTGAACATTTTTGGTAAGGAAAATATTATTTGATTCAAAATACTCTACAATAATATGTAGTAAAAACATAATTTTTTTCATTCCTTCAAGGATAAAAACATTAACTTTCTCTTAAATGGGAACCCCTACTTTGAATTTGTTATTACGATTTAAAATAAAAATACAAACAACTTTGCTCTTATAATTTTTTTTTCCGATCAACCGTTCGTCTGTTACAGCTTGTTAAAGTTAAATGATTTTGGACTAAATTTCTATTATTATTTTACTGTTTTGAATACAGGAGTCACTCATTTTCTATGGTGTAACATAAACTAATTTAACTTAATTCAGTTTATGAGGTTACGCTACAACTTTTGATACGACGTATCCGTCAACAAAAATAAAGATTACTTTGTGTAAGCAATGATTACGATAACATTATCGTAGTATTCGATTATTTTAAGAGTCACTATACTATGCATAGAGTTGGGTTTTTCAAAGAAATTGATTCTTCAGTATTACAGTTTGTCTTACAAACCAATAGACTGTGCTATTAATAATATAGTTAAGGCCCGATTTGAATCTATTGTTATTATCTCTCAATTAGTGTGTCGTAGATTATTATTGCTATCTTACATATCATATCTTGGTCAATAAAAATTAGTTTAAAAATAGTGACTTCTGTATTTAAAACAGTAAAATAATAATAGAAATTTATTCCAAAATCATTTAACTTTAACAAGCTGTAACACACGAACGGTTGATCGGAAAAGAAAATTGTAAGAGCAGAGTTGTTTGTATTTTTATTTCAAATCATAAAACAAATTCAAATAGTAGTTCCCATTTAAGAAAACTCAAATTAATGTTTTTTAACCTTGAAGGGATGAAAAAAATTATGATTTTATTACATATTATTGTAGAGTTTTTTGAATTAAACATTATTTTCCTTACCAAAAAATTTAAATTTTCAATAGTTACCGAAAAAATAAGTGTCTTATCCTTAATGAATCACTCTGTATATGACACTGAAAAACAGTACTGTTACTTAAACATAACTATTTAAGAGAAACAATAATTTTGCCTTAAATCACATTCTTCACTAGTTAAAAAAAACTAATTATACTGGACTATATTTATTTTCCAGTCATTAATTATTAACAATTCCAAACAAGAAAACAAATAAAATACAAATGTTTCCATCTGACTTACAAAGTTATACCATAAAAAAATGTTTACATAAAAAAACAATTTTATCCTTGAAGTTTTTATATAAAAAATTATTTTTAATTTCCTAATGTCGAGAAACTTTAGTTTCTGTTAAGTTTAGTGAATCAATCTGTCACACTGTAAAACGATATATTATTGTTTTTGAATCTATGACTTTTTCAATTTAAAAAAATAATAGTATATATCTTTTTTTTTAATGAAAAAATGTAAGAAAATTTCTTCTTGTCAATAATTTATAAATTAAATATATTAAAGCTTTGTTTTGTATTGATCAATTAATTGTTTTTTTTTTAAGTTTTTATTAGTTATAAAAATAATAAAATCAATCAATTATATAAAAATTTATATATTTTTTACCTTACTAATTATCGGTTACTTAATAGATATTAAAAATTGTTTTTAAAGTTGAAAGATTAAAATATTTACAATATCTTTATAATTAATCACATGATATAATTGTCTAACTATTTAGTAAATGCAAAGATAAATAAATAAAATCAACTACTAAAATCCATAAAAAAAAAATGTTTTTTTTTTTAATTTTCAAAGAGTTTAAGAGAAACTAAAATTAACACTATATTTAGTGAAATATAAAAAATGAAAAATTAAAGAGTACTAGTTTTAAAATTGACGTTAATCCTTTTAGTCAATTTCAATGTTTTTTTTACACTATATATACAATAGTCATACTTATAAATTATATAAAATAAATTGAAAATAGATATAAATTCAAACGTTAATGGTAATATATTTATGAAAATGTCTTCTTCTTCTTCTTCTTCGCCTTAATCCCAACTACTTGGAGTGGGCCATGAAAATGAAAATGTCATGAAAAGATTTCAGTCAAAATTTGAAATTAATTATCATTGTTCATGAAATATTTATAAATCGTAATGGAATTGTCGGTATAATATTCACTGGTCTAGAATATCACTATGAAACATAATCTTTAAATAAGCTACGAAAACGCTAAACAATCATTAAAAATTATTAATAAAATAATTACATTTATACAATTACAGTATAAATATTTATAATTATGATTTTATTTGGCAGCTCTGATAGCCGATGATTATGTGATGTCACAATACATGCACATTACGCCTAATGACATGGAACCCGTTCGAGAAGAACGATCAAAATATGGAGTGACATGTTACGGTCCTAATTTAAGCGGATTTCAATGGCGCGGACCGAAAGGGCCAATATCGCAAAGTTCACAAATCAGGTATTTTTTATGATTAAATATTGTCGTACAACCATCAATAAAACCAAATGGGAATTTCATACTACAAACATCATTTTGTTAAACGATTTCAATCCCAAATTAATTCGGAAAGTCCATTTTGTATTTGCATCGAACAGTACGTCAATACTATTAACAAACGTAATTTATTTTTTTACAATTTGTTGTTGCTAAACCCGCCTACTATTTTTTTAGATTAAAAATTTCATATTATATATGAAATTGAAAAAAATCTAACTTCAAAACTTTATTTTAAAGAATTAATTAAAACATTTATTTTTTTGCAAAATACAAATATTAGTTTTCTTACAAAAAATAAATAAATAATAGTAATAAAATAATTTAGCTGATACAAATTTGTATTTGTATAATTATTATTACTTATATCAATAGAAGTATTCCAATAACTATTCATTTGAGATAAACTAAGTTCTATGACTTTCTTAAAGAACATACATTTTTTTTCTAGATAAATTATATATTTTTTTGATTGCTATTAACCACGTCTATATGTTGAGTTTATAAGTAAATAACAATTTTTAATAACAATGATCAAAATTTTACGAATTTCATGATTTTGTACATTCTAAACGTTCATTGTATTGCAAATATTTAATATGTCTTTGTATTATTGATTTGTTACTTTTTCACTGAAAAATTGTCTTGTCAAAGACTAATGCTCTTGTGAACAAAATTAAAACAAAAATCACTTCAAATAAACAGTTTTAAGTATTATATATGTCAAATATTGACATCAATGAACTTTTCATGTTTAAGATTTAATATTTCAAATCAAAGAGAAATTTTCGATTAACTCCAAAAATATGTTTTAAAAATGTACAAAATTCCTCCTTTGTCTTACGTCTCTTATTTAACTCAATACAAATTTAATATTCAAACTATTATTTGTTTTAACCCATATAAAAATAATAAAAAATATAATCTCATGATTTTCGTTTCAAAGGTACCTTTTTCATATGCTTGATTTATTGAGTGTAAATTAAAAAAAAACATAAAATCATTTTACCATACATTAATACCAGTATAGTTGATTGCTTGATTAATTACATCTATGGAATAAATCATTCTGCATTTAATCTTACCGTGCTATATTATATCTGAAGATGCTAGATATTTAATATGTATTATTTTTTGTTTTTAAATTTTCTAAGAATTTTGGACATATCATAACTGTTTATATTACCATCGTATAAATTTCATCAAAAGTATAATCGATTAATACTAGACGTTGATAGTAAGGCAAGATATAATCTATGTAGCAAAACAACTGTGTACATTTTCCTGTATTGGTCTTTTTGATCTCGGTGCTATTTTATCTATGTAGGGTCGCAAACAGAACTTAAACTGAATATTTGTGGTATATTATTTTGTAGGGTACATTCACAAGATTTGATTATGCCAAATAATCAGACAGGATTACTTCTGGTGTTCGAAAAAGTTTTAGAAGAGGACAAAGGCAACTACACGTGCACGGATAGAAAGGGTCATTCAGTCGTCATCAAGCTGACAGTCACGAGTAAGTTTTCACTATATTTGGTATTCGAACACCTATTGGTCTATTTCATATTACATCATACTTTACGTGTAATATATAACATTATAAATTTTATAAATGAAATTTAATCCAAACTGAACTTTTTTTGAAATAATTTTATTTTGAATAAGATTCATCTGTTAAAAAACAAAAGCATGCTAATTATATACAACATTAAGTACACTTTCGTAAAAGGGTGAAAAACCTTTAAACTCGTTTATCCGTAAAAATAACCTCTTACCCTTACTACACGGTAGCGATTGGATTGAATAGTGTTTTTAAAACTGTATAACTCTTCACTGACCTTTAATAACAAATTGATCAGGTACTTGCATTATGCTACAGTGGCTAAGCCGGACAGTCGTGGAACGCGAAACGAGTGAGGAAAAAAACTTTTCTTCGACACTTTTATCACAACTTTTCGCCTTCGTCGTTTTTATACCTCCTCTTGCCCATTGCTTATTCAACTTTTTTTACTGATTCTACCAATAAAATTACATCAAGTTTGCGTTAGAGATTTTTTGTGTTAAGTGTTTTTAGAGTGAAATTATAAAAGCGCTAGACGTTAGTTAATTAGAAAAATATGTCCATCAGTAATGTAAGTGGCAATGCCATGAAAAACACTTGGTAAGATGTTTCTTAATTTTATTTCGAAGTTTTAGGGACAAAAAATATTACCTAATTGTATTATAAAATCACTGAAAAAATTATTTTCTTAATTTACAAATGAGCTGTTAAAAAGTGCCTTTTAGTAATATTCTAGAGGCTAAAATTAAATTTTCAGTGCTACAGTATTTCCCTGAAAATTCCGATTTCATATCTTGTTAACATTAAAACGTTTAATCCAATCTTTTAAAAAGGAATGCTTCGTTAAAGGTTTTCTAAATAAATAATTGTGTTAGCTATTCTTGTATCTAACGATTAAGTTTCTTCTAGTGAATACAGCAGCCAATTTGATTCATTTACTGATCACAACTTAAAACTATTTACAGGTATATATTTGTCAAGGTTACATTAAAACTATAGTAGCTTGTTGTTTCACATACATGTTTATTTACGAGTGCGTGGTAAACTTTACCGTTGGCGCACATACTCTCTGTTCTCACGTGTTACTTTATAGTTTTCGTTTACTCTCGAACAAAGTTTTTCGTTGTAATAAATTTAATAAATACTACTTCTATGAACTACACACATTTTATTCTTTTAGTGACGTTTTGTTGAATGATTCAAGTTCAAAGGTTTTTTTTTTTTTGTACTTTTAAGATTTTTCATCCAGAGTATTATACCTGGAACATACTCTCAAGTAGAGCATCTCTGAAACTGTAATGTTTCGCCAATCTGAGTGAATTGCATTATTACCATGCTTGACTGATGCTTATCAAAGGAGCCCTGAGAATTCATCAGGTTCCAATATCAAGAGTTTCTAGAAATAACGTGTCAGCAAATTAATTTTTTCTATTCATCTTAGCTCGAGTGACACTTCTCGTGGAAAATAACACAACTTGTCCTACATTCGCAAGTATGCTGGTTATGTGGTGAAATCCGTTACCTACAATGGAAACTAATGTGTAACATTACTCGTTTATTACTTCACGCGCATACCGGGTAACATTATAAAGCTCTGCCTTGCCATATGAAAAAAATAATAGTAATTTCATTAAATAAACAGGTCAATTTTGACATTTTAAACCTGAGGAAGAAGAAAATTCAAAAATCATTTTTTGTTGTTAGGCAAAATATAATAATAATTTTATCAAGTAATTGATTCGATTTCAACTCAATTCAACGTACACAAGTGTTCAATGGCAATTTTTAAATACTATGATTACGAAGGTATAAGATAACCAAATAAGAATTAATTAAATTACAGTAACTGTCATTAAGCATGAGATCAATGTTTACAGAAATGCGTAATTATTTTAAAAGATATTTTTAGGCTGTATTTTCACAAAGCTGTTAAGATAAAAAAAAACTCGTTGGCTCCTTTAATTTTTATCATACACTCCTTTTGAATTCAATACCGTTAAAATAATTAATTATTAATTAAAAGTGAATTAAAATTATTTTAATGCAAGTCTAATGAAAAAATTGTTTGAATCAAAACATTTTTGACTTCATCAATATAAATTATGAGTTTAAAATTATTATTCTTAAGTTATTAAATTTTTTGAAATCGTTTAATTACTTACTACTTAATGGATTTTAATTATAATTAGAAAATAACGTTGATAAAACATGACAGAATTGATGTTTTAACCATAAAAAGTTATTGATTTTATGGAAGTTTTATCGAGACGAATGTTAACTTAATTTTGAGTGAGAATTGTTTAAATTGATATTTTATTCGATTAAATGAAGACTCAAATGAAATTGATTATAATTATGGTTTATTTCACATTTGAGTTAAGATGAATTTTTAAGAGTTATATTAATCTAGTTGGCATTTAAACTTTAAAATATAATGTAAAATATTCTACATGACTATGATTCATGCCATTGAAGTCTAATAAAAAATTTAGCACAGCAGATATTTGACGCGTTTAAATATTAAAATGATATAGGGCGATTTTTAAGCACCGCAGACAATGTAGATAGATGCAGTAGTGAGATAGAAGATGTTTTTTGTCAGGCACGTGATTCGAACACTAATACCAGTGGCATATGAAAATTATACAATCAATATCAATAAAGAACACCATATGTGTGCCTAGTATGTAGTTTTATTAGAACGATTTTCATTCGCTTAGTGCTTTCTTTAGGAATGATTAATCTAATGTACTTACAAGTAACTCGATTTGATAAGTCAACCGGTTCATTGCGTTAAAAAAAAATTATTTATTCTTCTTAAAGGAATCTACAAATCACTTTCACATGGACTAATAAATTTTCCCTCGTATATGATTTATTTGATTTGAAATTTTCCTTACCCGTGTAAGTAAAAATTTTAATTTTTTAAGTAATGACATGCTTTTAATACCTTGTCTCACACGAATTACATTTTTTTATCGTTACTTATAAATATATGAATTGAAATTATAATAAAGTAGCAGTAAGGATCTAGTATTGTATATCACCAGAATGAGATTTTAATCCTCAAATGGGATTTCGATGGGATCAATTGATGACCCTTTATAATTTAGTTTTTCTCGATGACGTTTATTTACAACGATTTCGATTGTTTATAGTCAAACAATAATATGTTTAGCAAGTATTATTATGTCTATACGAGCTTAATCTACTCATTTCACTGGATCTGGTATTTGTGTGTCCATTATGCAACATAAAATCGTACTTGTTAAACTATCGAATTCAAAGCAGCTTTGCATTTATTGGTTTTTTATTTTCTCAAATCGTATAATATTTACACAATGTTATTTCAAACATTTCTAATGTTTAGTTAAGCACATGTCAAATATATTGAAATTTATTCAGTTTTTTGTCTGTAGTCTAAATAAAAAATATCAAAACTACAGTTTTGAGTGATGGCCCGACAATATGAATTGTTTTAACATTTATATAAGTTATTCCTTATTCGTGGCTCTTCAAACTATCAATTTATGATTTTTTTTATAATAATGATGTATCAAGTAGCTTAAGTGTTCATTAAAAATGAATTATTTCAAGTATCTATTTTTTATCCTATGGTTATCACAAAATTTCTTACGATTATCTGTACACATAATCGTATTTTATCATTATCGTACTATTTTTTTTTTTTGCATATTCTTTGAGTTTATATAATTTGTATTCATATATTATGACAGCCACTAGTTTTTCAAAATTATTAAATTAGAACTCTTTACTTCGATTTAAGCAGCAAAAACCTTTTGTTTTATTTTTAAAATTAATGATGAAACCAAAGTAGTATGATGTTAGAAACTCTTAATGACGAAATTTTAATTAATTACACAGTAAAAGGCTTAAGGAATAAAAATAATAACTTAATTTAAATAATTAGGATTAAACAAGTTCATTAAAAAAAGCTACTTTGTACATTTTTTTACTCTTTTTATTGATTAAAAATCACAACCATTTAAAAAATTGATCAACTTTTAATTGAAATTTGTAAGGTAAAAACTTTTTATTTAATTATAATTAAATAAGTTTAATCAACTTGAACGAACATTTTTTTTTTACGATTTTGCAATCTATTAAGGGCTTCTCGTAGAGTAGGATTCTTAACCATGGATACAACTTTTTATTAGCTATTAGATATTATTAATTTCTTGAGAATTTGCACTAAAATAAATAATTTTTTTTTTTTTAATAACCATCACATTATTACATTGTTTGGAAATAATATTTGTATGTTATCATACAGCTGTACCATTTACTGAATGTAAAAATAAATTTAAAAGTACACTCACATTAAAAGGATTGACTAGGAACAAGGGTAACTTACCCTTTTTATCGTTAAAGCAAGCCGTTACTGTGCAACACCAACTTAAAATTTTTACTGCAAAGGCTATTTTCCTTTCAACGGATAACGTAGCTCAGTGTTAGATTTGGTCAACTTCCAGCTGTGCGACTTTGTCCGCAGAACATTTATTGCTAAATAACTATACGTTCAAATGGAGTGTCTGTAGTTTTGAAAAACTTGGTATAACCGTTTTCATTTAAACTTGACCAAATATTAATCATTCCAAAAAAACAAATTTGGTTAGTATAATAAAGACATAAATCTACATAATGTAACATTTTCATCATTATACATTTATGAACCTAAAGTTCTACAGTAGCATTCCACTTTTTCCTGTGTCTTATTTGTTAGAGAAAAATAGTATTATGCTAACTAATTTATGAGCTTTAAGTAGCATTTTAAGAGCCATAACTGTAATTTTATTTATTGTTTCAAACTTTATTGTTTGCACAAATGTTTTTTTTTTGCTTCGTTTTAATCATTTATCGACTGAAAAATATATTAAAAGTTCATGATGATATATTGTTTAAGGAAATCCGGATGTGCATGTCAATGTCAAATT